CCCCCCCCAGGAATTAGTTCATGTAACTGTGAGAGTGGGCAAGTCCAAAATCTGTCGGTGAGGACACAGGCTGGAAACTTTTGCATTCTTGTGTTTGAAATAAGTAGGTCAGGTTGTGGCAAAGAGAGAATTCTGGCAGAATGTCTATTTATAGTCTGGAGGCAGAGTCCTCCCTGGGGAAACACCTTAAAGCCTTCAACTGGTTGAATAAGGCCCACTCACATTATTAGGGTGGGGAGTTGGGGAGTGGGGGGTGAAAAGGATAATCTGCTTTACTTAAGGTCAACTGATTTAAATGCTAATCACACATAAATAACTTCATGGCAACATCTAGACAAATGTCTGGCCAAACCTGGACACCATAGATTACCCAAGTTGACACATAAAATTAGTCATTATGAGGGTAAAGAGCAGCTTTTCCTTCCTGCATAATTTTGAATACTAGTCAGATACCATGGTACCTGCTTGCATTATGGGAAAAGGTAGTCATGCAGGCTAAGTTGCTCCCCACAGGACATAATATGTGTCAGTATCCCCTCCCTTCACTATAACATCCTCATTCCAACATAAGTTCGATGGTTCTGTTACCAATAGAGACAAGAGACAAGAAGAAAAACTCCACAGAAATGAGTTTCACACTCTATGTAGCACCAGCCAGTGACCAAATGGAACCCCTTCTAAGCAGCTTCTGATGCTATTTCAGCTATATCCTTTGATAGTCATAGGCATTTCTCAGTAACCTAAGGTAGGTCTGATGTGACATAGATCCAGTGCTTCAAACTAGTGGAAGAGAACGACTTCCAGGACTGATTGCCATTCACAGGGGGGACTGGTAAAATTCGCACATTCCACACTGAAGACCCAAGTTTAATTCTAGGCCAGTATACTTCATGGACAGTCACAACATATCTATCCTTGGAGGTTTGTGTGTTGCTATGATGTTGAACAGGTTTCAGTGGAGCTTCCAGGATTCTGAAAATCAACCAATAAAAAATCTACAGTTGTTCATCAAAGGATTTTTATAAAAAATTAAAAGACAACTTATATACTCTTTTTGGGAAACACATATCTGATAGTACACAAAATATATAAAATACTTCTACAACTTAACAAGAACAACAACAAAAGACAAATAAACCAACTGAAAAATTGGCAAAGGACTTAAGCATACATTTCACCAAAGAGGATATTCAAATGGCCAAAAAGCATACTAAAAATGTTCAATCATTAGCCATTAAAAATTAAAAGAACAAGAATAGAAATACCATATGACCCTGCAATCCCACTAGTTGGTATACATCCTAGAGAAATAAGAGCCATGACACGAACACATATATGCACAGCCATATTCATAACTCAGAAGGAAGGTTGGGCAATCCTACTTCCGTAGTGATACTGCCTCGGAAACCCAAGGAGGGGTCGCTATGAGTCGGGGCCGACTCGACGGCATATAACAACAAATATTCATAACAGCACTATTCACAACAGTAAAAAGATGGAAAGAACCTAAATGCCCATCAATGGAGGAATGGACCAACTAACTATCGTACATACACACAATGGAATACTATGCAATGTTAAAGAACAATGATGAATCTGTGAAACATCACATAACATGGATGAACTTAGACCCATTATGCTAAGCGAAGTTAGTCAATCCCCAAAGGACAAATACTGTATGAGACCAATATTGTAAAAAGTCAAGAAAAGTGTTTCACAAAAAAAGGAAATATTCCTTGATGGTTACTAGGGGTGGTGGTGAAGGGAGGGTAAACCACTAAATAAAGGGTAGACACATGTTAACTTGGGTAAAGAGGCAAAGATAATGATAATGACAACAATGACAAAAAAAAAATTAACTGTGATGTATTTCCTTCTGGTGTTCTAAAAAATTAACTTGATGGCACCCAACAACAAAGAAAAACACATAGAAAGGTCCTATTTCCATATAGCCTATATTCTAGTGGGGAGAATTGAAAGAATAAACTAAAAGTAAAAATTGCATGTGTTAAAAAGAAATCAAAGAAACCAAACCAATAGTTGTTGAATTGATTCTGATTCATAACAACCCTAAAGGACAGAGTAGAACTGTCCCATATGGTTTTCAAATCTTTATGAAAGCAGACTGCCACATCTTTCTCCCATAGAGCAGTTGGTAGGTTAGAATCACAGACCTTTTGGTTAGCAGGCAAGCACTTAACCACTTTGCCACCAGGGCTCCTCTTTACTCATTACCCACTGCCATTGAATTGATTCTTACTCATAGTCATCCTATAGTATAGAGTAGAATTGTCCCTTTAAGGTTTCCAAGGCTGTAAGTTGTTAGGGAAGCAGACTCCCTCATCATTCTCCCATGGAGTGTCTGGTAAGTTGGAACCACCAACTTATTGGTTAGTAGCTGAATGCTTTAACCACTGCACCACCATATCTCCTTTCATTAGTCATTCCAAAACCCAAACTCCCAGCCATCGAGTTGATTCCAACTCATATAGACTTCCAATGGGTTTCCAAGGCTGTACATCTTTACAGAAGCAGATCACCTCATCTTTCTTTCACAGAGCAGCTGGTGAGTTCAAACCAGAGCTCCATTCATTAGTCATTCATCATTAAGGAGATACAAATCCAACCACAATGAGATACCATTTCACACATATTAAAATGGCAAAGATGAAAACACACAACAAAAAATAAAATAAAATAAAATAATAGCAAACAATAAGTATTGGCTAAGTTGTGGGAAAACTGGAACATTTATTCATTGGTGGTAGGAATGTAAAAAGGTACAGACATTATCAAAAACAGTTGGCAGTTCCTCAAAATAGTACTACCATATGAGCCACCAATCCTAATCCCAAGTACATACCCAGAAGAAATGAAAGCAAGAATGCAAACAGAAACATGTACACTGAGATTTGTTGCAAAACTTTTCACAACTGAAATGTCCATCAACAGATGAAAGGATAAACAAAATATAGTATATACATATGTCTAGTTAGCTAATGCTACTATAGCAGAAATACCAGTGCAGGCTTTAACAAACAGAAATTTATTTTCTTACAATTTAACAGGGTTAAAGTTGAAATTCAGGGTCTTGACTCCAGAG